CAAAGACTGAAAACTTTGTGGAATGAAATGACCATTTTCTCACTATTGCATTTGACAGAGAATCAAAATTGGAATATTTTGATATTACATTTTCCTATAGCTATCTTTCTAACTTATTTTCCAGTATTCTTAGTAGTCGACCATGTTTTTATGACAATCGAAATTTGAACAAACCTAAGTGACACTAATCCGTCACCTGTTATAGGATACCATAAGCTTTCAATAATCAAAAAATGACTCAAAGTGGTATCACCCATGAAGATTTTTGGAATTTAATTGTTATTTAAGAGGAAGTCCGTATATTAAATGCCTAAACATCTCTACGTTATCGCGAGAAATTTAAAGTATGACAAAGGTATTTTACTGATGTGTTGATTGATACCGATTCAGCAAGAATGCCGCCGTGCTTTTCTGATGTCATTTTTTTTAAACATGCGAGGACAACAAAATATATGGCGTTAAAGTTCCGACATTTTAGTGGTTTTTAAAGATCGATTTCTCCTTAAAAAAGCAAACCAGGTGTCAAATTCTTGACAGAATAGCTTCCTAGCTGAAACCAAAAATTGCCAACATTTGATGAAATTTCGCATTGTACAAGGTGCATTTTTTACGCATGCATTTTGTGTGCTTTTATTAGAGGGACCTACCATCCAAATTTCGTTAAAATTGCTCCATAAATAAGAAAGTTGGAGGTTGCACATGCGCAACACTATTTTTTGCGCATGCATTTTGTTAGCTTTTATTAAAAGGACCTACCATCTAAATTTCGTTAAAATTGTTCCATAAATAAGAAAGTTGCATTTCTGCGCATGCGCAACACGATTTTGCGCATGCATTTTGTTTGCTTTTATTAGAGGGACCTACCATCCAATTTTCGTTAAAATTGCTCCATAAATAAGAAAGTTGGATGTTGCACATGCGCAACTCGATTTTTTGGGCATGCATTTTGTTTTCTTTTATTAGGAGGACCTACCATCCAAATTTCGTTTTAATTGTTCCATAAATAAGAAAATTGCATTTCTGCGCATGCGCAACACGATTTTTGCGCATGAATTTTGTTTGCTTTTATTAAAGGGACTTACCATAGAAATTTCGTTTAAATTGCTTCAGAAACAAGATCGTTGCGTTTTGCACATACAAGGTGATTCCTATAGTACCTGCCACCGTTTGGGAGCGTATAGGGGGTGCCTAGGAGAGTATTTTGATATAGGACACTTGGGGTCGGAAATCTAAAATAAGGGCGCAAGAACCAAATTTATCTTCTGGAATTTCACGCCTGTATGTAGGCAACCCAACCGACCGACGTTTCGCGCGGAGCGATGCAGAGCGAGTTAGCGCGAGGAAGCGACATGGGTGGGAAGGAGGGAAAACGACAGTCAAAAGCAATAACGTTTACAAGTGTTCAACGTGGCCACCGTTGTTCTCAATGCACTTCCTACATCTAGCCAACTATTATTATACTATTGCCATAGTGTTATTCACTTGATACGCGTCGTTGCAGACGGGATTTCGTGGGTTTAAACAAAATTCTGATCAAGTGTCAGCCACACATCGCCGCCTGAGATCGCTCCGTGTGCACCGCCGGCCGGTTGGGTTGCCTACCTACAGGCGCGAAATTCCAGAAGGTAAAGTTGGCTCTGGCACCCTTATTTTAGATTTCCGACCCCAAGTGTCCTATATCAAAATACTCCCCTACGCACCACCTACACGCTCCCAAACGGTGGCAGGTACTATAGGAATCACCCTGTATGCAACACAATTTTTTGACTTTGACAATTTTTTTCTCCGTTTTTTGATAATATAACCCGGCCCAATTTTTTGTAGGTTGTACACAGGAAAATAAGGTCCTCCAAATAATAGAATAAAAATTTTAGGTTGCTATTTGAAAAAAAAAGTTCGATGCCGTTACGGCGCTCCAAAATTTTTTTTCAAAAATCCGGCCCGTTATTTTTCTATTCGGTATGCCTAAAACATATATACAAAATTTCAACAAAATCCGTCGAGCCGTTTTCTCAGAAAATTGCCAACAAACGTACGTACGTACGTACGTACAGACGGAAAAAAATTTTATTCTTTAAAAGTTGCTTAAAATATGGTCTAAAACGTCGACATTTGATGAAATTTTGAAATGTTCAAAAAACGGCTATCGCAATAGCTACCTAGCACATGCTAGGAAGCTAAAAATTTTATTCTTTAAAAGTTGCCTTAAAATGGTCTAAAACGTCGACATTTGATGAAATTTTGAAATGTTCAAAAAACGGCTATCGCAATAGCTACCTAGCACATGCTAGGAAGCTAAAAATCAAAATTTTACTATTAGAGAAGCACAAATTAGCTCTTTATTTATTAGTATATAGAAAAAGATCATTAAAAAAACAGTCAGTTTTTGTAATTTTATGGGGAGAATGGAGGTAGGTACTATTTTGCAAATATTTAAGTCCGTATCTTAGCGTCACATTACGGCAAATTATCGAACTTTTATATAGATAGAGAAGCTAGACAAATGTATTCATGGGAGGTGCTAAAAATACAAGGTAATTTTCCTATCTTTTAACTGTGATTATGTGTAATTGTATTTAATAGTTATGTAATTGTTCCCTATTTAATTGTTATTTAACTGTTATTTAAAATAAGGAACTTAGGTACTAGCTACCTCCGGTATTTCCGGAAGTTCCACCACTTTGAAAATATTTTACATCGATTCGGCCTTCAGAGTAAGTCCCAAGTACAGATTTTCAAAAGCCTACCTTTTATTTCCCCAGAAACGTTTAACTAAAGCTTCCAGAAAAACACTCTGTCTACATTTCTTCCATGGAAATTAGGTAGAGATTCAAAGGTAACATCGACTCAAATTAAGCCGGCACGTGCCATCAGTTGCGATTGTGTAGAATCCTGTATAACGGTTAGGTAATATTTAATTTCCTGGAATTTAATCAAAAGTGAAGTGTATTTATGAAACGATCTGTCAGAAAAAAACAGATTGAAGATGACTGTTCGCTGTTGAAGGGAATTTCTGGCAATATTAAACATTTTCATAATCAAGTGTCTATTTGCACTCTCTGAAGATGACACTTTCCACTAGAAGAAATTTATTGCTAAATTAGTGTAGTACCTATCATTTATAACTTTCTTTTCTTTTGTGGCGAAGTGGAGGATTAGATAACTAGCCATTTTATATACTTTTAATGACGTTCCACAGAGAATACTCAGCGTTGGTTTCCAAAGTGCTAAGTTTACTAGTGTAGTGGTGCTTACGCATATACAAAGCGATCAACTCATGACTAAGCGCCCCTCAATACATTGTTAAATTTCTAAAATTTGTCTAGATTTTTCTGATTTCTGCCAAGTAGGTCCACTCGAGAACGTCTACGTGAAATAAGATAGTTTACAATAAAATCCGATAATTTATTAGAGATTGTGATTGTTAGATAACTTTGATTTCATAATTATATTTCGTATTGTTCCCTGTGAACTTTTATTAGAGGCTAGCGCTAGCCCTTTCAGAAACGGCTTTCACGTTTCTTTTACCTTGTGAGCTACAGAAGGAAAATAAGAATTACTTAACCTTTAATTTATATCCATTAAGTTTAAATTGATAACAGAGATTCGTTGAGAAAATTCAATACTCACGAAATGATTTTCTTTCCCAGAGAAAAACAATTAACTTTAGACCCCATTTTGACATGGGGTACGAAAACCCGCAGCGATGTATTAACACTCAATCAATAAAGGTAACATGTGCTTATATACATTGATTTGACGTCGACCCTCTGAAGCATTATGAAAAGGTGTTATTTGTATGCCCAAGTCATTATCTACTATTATGCAGATTTTCTGTCTAACGACACAATTTATCAAGACAGGATCTTGTATAATACTTCACTAAACTATAGAAATTCCTGGTCTTTATATTTGTCCTTGCAATTTGAACGAGAATTTGACCATTTTGACAGTGGAATACCTACTTGATATTTTGATAAGATTACCAAAAAAGTTGATAAATAAATAAATATTATAACGTATTTCTTGAATACGAGGTTCTTTCCTAGAACACAAGTATAGTTAATTATTTAGTACACGCAACTAATTGCTTTCTGAAGGGAAGATTTGACAAAGAAACTAGAAGATGGAAGATCTTCGACCAATCGAGAGCCCCCCCCCCCTTTTTACGTATAGCAAAGCGCGGTAGGTTTCCAGAACGTGAACGTTTTGCAATCTTCGGGGTACAGCTAATACACGAACCAAGCCTGCGGAAAGGAATTTAACGTACTTTATAGTTTAATTTCGGAATAATTTTCCATTCAATTTTGCATAAAACAGTTAGTCCTAAAGACCCTTGCAAACTTGACTTTCTGCACCGTTTAGAAAAACAGGTATATCGAAAACTGACGTTTACAAGTGGGGGAAACTAGGGGGGTAAAGGTTTTCAAAAAAGCACCTCGAGCCTGCACCACCTTACAGCAAAGTTTTAAAGAAAAATGCGACGGTTGTCTTAATAATCCATAGCGTTCCAACTTCAAACCAAATTGGCTTCACTGGAATGGCGACATCTTCTCAACCCACAAACATTCAAAGTGTGAGCAAACGCTGAAATTATGCAGTTTCTGCTGAGACTGCATTCGAACTTCGCCCAATTAGCTACTTAGCACGCAGAATGTTGTTTTTTTCTGTACTTTATATATGTTGTTGTAATGTAGCTAATAAAAGACATTATTATTATTATGGTCGGTGTTTCTTGTGAGAACTCAGATCTAGCCTGGCTAACTAATCGCACGGATTAAAATCAAGTAACGATTAGTGTCTGNTCACAGTCAACGATCGACACCTAATTAAACGCGCACCTTCTATTACATCTACCATTCCGTGATAGTTCGGGTGATTCCTATCCAGCGAGACTTTTATGTAATAATTTGCTGCTATTTGCTTTCTTCTAAGAGCAAGAGGGGGAATATTAGCCTCGACATGGAGAGATACGACTGGAGATGTTGGAAAGGCGCCAAGTGAATACCTTATTGCCAGGTTTTGAATTTTGTCTAGTCGTCCCAACAATACATTACTACAGGTAGAATAGACATGAGATCCGTAGTCTATACGCGATAAGATCAAGGCTTTATATAGGTCCAGCATGGTTTTAGGGTTGGTTCCCCATTTATGATGAGCCAGCACCCTTAGGATGTTTAGTGATTTCCTGCAAGATACTACTAAATTGTCTACATGTTTTCGTTCATAAATAGAACTGGGCCGTAATGTGGTCTTCGGAGTCGACAGAAGTGTACACATTTTGTCTTCTCCTCCGACAGTACAAATCCTACAGCGTTAGCATTTTTTGTAATTTTGTTTATTGCCACTTGCAATTTACGTGTTATATCACCCACCGTTTTACCTGCACAGCAAATCATTAAGTCATCGACATATAAACATTTCTCCACTTCCTCCGCGACATTTATAGCAATTTCATCAATGGCAATACCAAACAGGGAGCAGCTAAGTGTTGACCCCTGCGGTACCCCATTTTCTAAGACATGCTCGTTCGAGTAAGTGTCACCGACTCTGACCACAAATTTCCTGTCTTCTATAAACGATTGTATAAATTTTGGCAGATTCCCGCGTAAGTTATATTTAAACATGTTTTTTAATATTCCGTGCCTCCAGGTCATATCATATGCACCTTTTATGTCAAAAAAGACACCGACCAAATGTTCGCCATGATCGAACGCCCTCAGGATTTGGTTGCTTAACCTGACCAGGTGGTCAATCGTCGATCGCCTCTTTCGGAAGCCGGTTTGATATGGTACGTATATATTGTTGTTTTCAAGATACGTTTGTAACCTCTTATTGACCATTTTTTCTAATAGTTTGCCTAAGCACGAGGTCAAACTTATTGGGCGATAGTGCTGTGCCAGCAGCGGATCTTTTCCCGGCTTTGGAATAGGAACTACGATGGCCTGCTTCCATTCTGAGGGGTAAGTAGAATGGTTCCAGCAGTTGTTGAAGAATTTTAAAATAGATTCTTTCATTTCAGGACTACTGTGGCGAAGCATTTGGTTATGGATGCCATCCTGTCCCGGTGCACACGATTTGGTGGTACGAATTGCAGTGTCTAGTTCTTCTATGGTAAACGGTTGGTTATAATCTAAATTATCGTCGGTATTAAAATTTAAAGGTGCGGATTCTTTTACAGGTTTGGTCTCTAGAAAGATAGGATACTTCTTAACAACATTAAAATTCTGATTATGAGTTAAACAATAAACATCCATCGTATAAATTTAATCAACTTTAATACTCCAATAAGTGTAAATTTTATAACCTTCTGGTCATGGAAAGCTAATCTAAAGCTTTGTCATAAAGCATTGATATATTGTAAAAAATACACTTTTCTATTTCGCAAAAATCAAGAAGAGTATTCTAACGCTTCCGTCCGATGGAATTAGTAATTAAACAAAAGTATGCCAATTACAATTTTTAGTTAGCATTTATTCGCGTGAAATGAAAAGCTTGGTAGAGTGTGCATTTCAATTCTTAATTTAAATAAAAATGCTACGCTGAATTGGATTTTCTGTTGTAAACGGAATTCCGGAAATTCGTGTCATTTGTAGTGTATCGTAACATTTTTCCTATGCAGGTTGTAAGTATAGAATTGTTTATTTGGCCACATGGTATTTCATAAACAGCGTTTAACAAAGTAAACGTTTAATTTAGAATGTGAAGGTAATCACTTCGCCCATCATATTGAACTGAAATCACAACGTGATTAGTAAAATTATAACGAAAATGTTGCGAGATAGTGGAGGGTGTGTTTTTAGATGCTAAACGGCGAAATTCGGAAACAGTTTTACGAGAGGAATTTAATGTGCTCATTGTTTTTCGGAATATATGTGTCAGGTGAGCCCGGGAATGGATTTAAGGAATCTTCTTTGTTTTGATTTTCTTCTTAATGATTTGTTTAGCAGTTACTCATGTAGGGGTGCGAAGAAATAACCGAATCCGTGTATACACCTTGCGAGTTCCTGGCGGACTTTCGAGTCAGTGCACGTGATTACTGATTATTGGGGCAGTTTTCCCTTTTCATTTCAAGGAGTGCAGGTGATTAAACGTTAAATTAAACTGGGTCACTGACGTATTTAAATAAGAGGTCGAACGTGCGCTTAAAGGGAAAAGTTTCGAAAGTTAGAGAACAGTCGCCAGGTGCTTATATAATGAGAGCAAAGACTTGTGTAAACCATTGAGGGGAGATAGCAAATTATAGTCACTACGCTCCCAAAAAGCGTCACCAAATTCTCCGGAATAAGAAGTGAAATAGGTAACTAAAGTTTATTATTTTTTTTGTTGTTGTGGGGCACAATCTTTGAACGTAATTTTTTGTAATTAATTTTGTGTTATGTTTATATTATTAGTTATTGAAAGCAAGGAGGAACTTCGAGGACGTATCCAAATATATTGCTAGTATTTTGTAATTTCGTGTCCGTTTCTAACAATCTAACCATCTTGTTCTATTCATTAAAATTTTGTTTTTTCTGTTTAATGTCGTGGGTATGATTACGTTTTAACACCAAACAATTTTCCAAATCAAGCGGCAGTGAAGGTTAAGGTATTAACTTGGAATTCAGATTAATACATTTTTATTTGTTATCAAGTTGCTCATTAGTGCAAATGTGACAATTTCAAGTAAATTTATTAAGCGTTTCCTCTATTTATGAGAGATAAAGGTAATTGTTTGGAGATAACGTGGCTATTTTAACCATTAAAAAAATTGTATTATTATGTAGAAATTGTTCGAATTAGATAAGAAAAATTCGTTGAAGCAGGGTTGTATGCGCCGTATCGAGGTGTTATATCGGCTATTGTCGTTTCTAGGAGGTGTTATTGGTTGATAAAGTTTTACGAAGTTTAAGTGGGATTCTCTTTGAAATACGAGAGCGGTATTTTTCGTCGTATAAAGCTTTCGACCCCAAGTTTTCGGTTCATGTGTAAAATAAAAATCATCTGTGTAATTTCAGGCAAATTGTGTGTTAATTCGGACCCTTCATTAACGGCGAACAGATAAGTTTCATGTTCACGTTACGATTAATTTTAGTTGATTCTCGCCTAAAGCTCATTTTGAGCATTAGTCAAAATTTAGTTGAAGTCCGTTTGGAATCTAAGGATTTTTAGCTTGTGGCCACTGTTTGCCTGAAATAAAAAAAAATTGAGGTCGGAATTGAATCATTTTTCTGTATCGGGATGAGGATCTGTACCGGGAAAAGTTATAATTCTGGAGCTAGATAGGTTTGAAGTGTGTTTGTGTTTTAGCCTGGGATTAATGCACCCAGCAATATAAACTTATAAAGTATCTTACAAAGAAAATTGAAATAAATTAGGATCCTTATCATTATAACGTAAGAACAAAGAAAGAGGATACTCAATCATTCCAATGCCTATAATTTATGAGGTACGAGTATACCTGTATTCGTAGTGTCTAATTCCAAATATTAAACGCATCAGGAGCTTTGCATTCTCTTTATGTGTCGAACATCATACGATAGCATCACAATAACTAAACTGTGAAAGAACTAAAGCTTTAAACCTTAGATCTATTATATCAATTTGCAGACCTACATTTTTATACATGCACCCGGGGAAAATGTAACATCTTTCTCAGTTATTAGCCACAGTGGTTCTGACCGTTCTTCAAAAAATATTTGATGAGTATAATGAACCAAGGATATTATTTTTATACGGAATACAGTTTATTCCTTGCTTTCAGCATTACTTTTAGCGACAGTTAAATAAAGGCAGGTCGGTCGCTACTACTTTTCATTGAGTACCTGACGATTGAATCGATAATCGCCAAAACTGTGATTACGATAATGATTATGATAAAAATACTTTCGCCTTGTTTCACCACCATTAAACAGCGCTTTCACGTTCCATCTAAAAGAAGCCACGAAATGCAAGTTTGCTTAGTAAAAACCGAGGTAAAAACCACCTATAAGAAATATACTGTTCCAAAATTACCGAAACATGGGGAATGCTAATAGGTAGAAACCTCTTAAAGATTTCAGGAAGTGTGTATCAGAAAAAGGTAGCCAAAAAGCCGTAAATTATGTATAAATTCCTAATATTATATTTCTTGTATACCTCCTTAGATAAAAGCAGAGTGTTGCCAATAAATTCGCTACCATATAGCCATAATATTGAAATTTATTAATGTGTGCAACTACCTGTTCCATAAATTATATGAAAATAGTCGAGCAAAATTATTTGATTTTTCATCCTCTAAATCGGTTTATCAATTAAACACCTCGTAAAACACAAGTGTCACAACAGTAAATTTAAATAATTAATTAGTTCAATCAGTTTATAAAATAAGATGAACGCATCAGTAAAGTAGTAAATCCTATTAATAGTAAAATTGAAACCGTTTGGTTTTAATTCACATTGTTTCTGTTACGGTAATGATTAAAGTTAATTGCGTAAATGAAGCTAATCAATCTTCCTTACCTTAAATTCTACAAATTTCCTTGTGTGATACTTGGTTTTAGTGATACGATTGTTCTAGATTTTGAAGTTACACTAATAGTATATCTATATGTTTGTCAATTGTCACCGGTGCGACGCTCCCGCGGGATACTGGCGCGAAATTTTCGTCTGCTTCTCATTTTATGAATAGCGGCGATATACTGAAACTGAATGAGTCGAAGAAAATTGCTACCGCGTAGCGGGCTGAAAAGGTATTCAGCGCGTGCGTTGGGAAAATTGAAATTAAAAACACATCATAAACAACCGCCGGTTTTCAGCTTTAGCACAGGCGAAAACGTAATTTAAAAGACGCCTGTTCCAAACAGCCCAACAGTATTTAATCTCTTTTATAATTGATGGAGAGAGAAGGGTCTTATTAATTTGATACTGACAAACTATAATGTAGTAGCACACACTCGTAGGGAGTATCGTTCCAATCTCCACTTTCGTCTCGCCCTCTTGAGACAAAAGAAAAAAATCTTAATATCACTTTTGCGCAAGATAGAAGCGATACTTATTTTCAACTAAATAATATAGGCAAAGCTCACCGAATTGAAGTAAAATGAAGTGAAATGTATTCAATACAGATTGAACTCCTGGCATCAGTTACAAATTACAATGGAAGTAGACAGATTCATTCATTCATGCTTTTACTTACCGGACCAGCCAAAAAGAGAACTTTATCAATGACTATAAAGTTGGAGGACTGAATTCATAATATAAAATTTCTGAATATTATAGTATTGTGTTGATTTTGTGCTAGTGATATTCATTAAAGAAAAAATTCTTACCCTTCCATGCATAGCATATATACATTCTGGAAGCATTATTATTTGTAAAAAATAACATTAAGGACTTCAATGCCTTAAATACCATCGACTCTTACAATACTAGACATGGTATAGTAATTTAAAACTCGAAAAACATCATACCAGTTTATTCAAGAAAAATCCATATTACATGGGAGCTCTAATAGCTTTAAAAATGCAATTAAAAAATGTCTAGTTATTCATGAGTTTTATTCTGTGGAAGAATATCTCGACCATGCATTCCAACTGTGATTTCTATATTTTTCTTATTTATAAGTTTTACTCGTCTTTGTTTTTTTCAGAAACTGTAACTGTGATATACCTACCTTGTTTTAATTTACTATATATTCAAATACGTGTTTATATTATTTTTTTATTGTTTGTGAAAAATGACTTGTCCAATATCCTTAATCTGTGATTTACTGGATGGAAATAAATATTACAGTGTTTGTGGGTTGTTAATTTATTTAAGGTGTAACGCATAGTAGTCTACTTGACTATCCTTTGCAGTACGTAAAAGACAAATAGTTATTTATTATACAAGGGAGAAAAGTATTAGATTTTAGCTCGAGGTTGTGTTGCCTTCCGACGCGAAGCGGATGAAGACAAAAAACCGAGAGCTGGAATCTAATATTTTTCCCGTGTATAATACCTACACTAGTTTTTTCTGTGACGGGGAAAACGATATATCAGATATCACAGATACACGTTCCTTACGTATATCTGTGGATATATTAAAATCGGAAAATTATCGATTTGAAATTTGAAGTTTTAAATTGGAAGACTGTTAGCGACAATTTGAACTGCAATGCAACCTTTATAAGGGTAATCAAGTATCTGTCAATTCAGTTTGTGTTCT